CCACGAGATTTATTGTCCGGAAGCAGTCCGGAGACCGAGAAAAAGAGGATAATGGTTGACGAAGAAAAGAGGTTGAAAGCCGTCGATGATGGAGCGGATAGAATTTAGCTGAGAATTCAGATATTCGTGGTGTATCAAGCCAAATTTGAAAATTTTCGTCGCACCATCAAAATTCGCCGCAGATCTGTGTTGCGCGCGCAATGCGTGCGGCGCCAACTGGTATTATATATATGGTAAGATTGTTCTCGTATTAGTATCTCTACTGCATCGACTCTTTCTTCTTAAATCCTTTCATAGGTTCCAACTTCGAAAATGAGATCGTTTTTGAAGAAAAAAAGATTTGTCATCAATGCTAGCGGAACTGGAAGTCCGAGTCGCACCGTTATCTCCATCAGTTTCAACGTGGGCAGTCTTTCAATGACCTTGTCTTCTGTTTGGCCGACTTTGGTTTGGGTTTAAAAGTATAATGTGTTGTTCATACCTTTGCCAATTTGCATATGGGAATGTCATCGAAAACTCACAATAAAATGTTTACTGCTGTCGTTCCTTTTTTGTAAAGAGAATAATTGTCCAGTATTCGTTTGAGTTGAAAACATTCATGAGCAACTTTTCTGACGTAGCAAGTTTATATTCGCTGAATATGAGGTGAAGGTCGCGGAGAATGTTGGAAACTCGGTTGCCGATCGGACAGTTTCTACGTGAGGTGTGTTTTATTTTGTTTCCGCTTATCGTTCATGACCACTATTGAAATTTCCAACGATTCTGTATAATTTTTAAATTCATTATTTATGTTATTTCCGAATTGCTGCAATTCTTCGGATGGTTCCAATTGTTTTTCTTTGTTTTACTATTAGCATCGAAATTCTCGAAGATTGCGCATTATTGAATCGTTACGAGCAAAACGATAACATGGTAGGCAACCAGTCATGGTTCTCACGGGTGTGGTCGATAATAGATCAAGCGGTATGGTCGATAATAGATCAAGCGGTCGTCGTGCCACTGTGGCATTGTGTCCAGTAGTCTCAACTCAGCCAGTTCCCTTGCAGCTTATTCATTGATATTTGTTCTACCGTGTCATTACATTATTAATGTTTTTGCAACATCTTTGACTTGTCGCGTCAGATATTTTGAACAGAAGCGATCTTAGGATCGCGTTCATAGCCGGTCGTCCTCCCGTAAGATCGATGCGATTCTGATGGTATCGGTACGTAACAGTTGCAGTATTATATACGGTTGGTTACGCATCAAATGCAGGCGGTGTGTATCCAGTATACCGTTAAACACGATCGATACTTATGTACTACATCCAAAAGTGTATAATACACCATTAGGCCCGATCGATACGTACGTATGTCTAATGGTGTATTGCTGCTATTACTACAGGACTGCGCTACGTTGTAAGTTCTGAAGTAGGTTCACTGTCGTTGCCAATCGATGAAGTACGTACATTCAGGAACTCCAATGGTGGGCGGACGAACTGAAATTGGCGTTATTCTCAATGTCATTCTTCAGGAAGGTGTTCAAGTGGACAAAGCCTTCTAACGAGCATGTCTATAGAAGCCATCAGAGCTTGGTGTTGGATGAGATTCGCGGTAGATACGGAGTAAACCCAACATAAAATAGCTTTTACATACGGCTGTTGTCAATGATCTGCTAAATATTTTGAATTTAGAGGGGCGTAGGGCTGAATTTAGCCGCTGATGGAGCCTACGACAGGCGCGGCTATGCAGCTCTCATAGGGAGAGTGGTGTTGGTTGACACCCATACAAAACTGGTGCTGCATACTGAAGTGCTCCACCGTGATGAAACAGGTGTTTACGTCTCCGTTCAAAAGACCTGAATTTCATCACATGTTTCTCTTCAGAGGGCATCAGTGGGAGAATGGAGGTAGAAAGTCTCCGAAGAGTGCTTCGGTGGATGAAATCATCAGGGTTTTCCAACATCACAACTGACCGTAGGCGCAGTGGTTCAGGAGCTGGCGCCCGAAATTGGTGCCGTCCGTCATTACTATGACGGCTGGCATCTTGTAAAGTGGCTTGGAAATAAGTTTCGAGAGGTGAGGGGAATATAGTGTGCTCTAGGTTCATACTTCACCGATACTACGATAGGTGTGAAGAAGGGGGTATCTCGAAATTGGCAGGTCTCCAAAGCTAGGCGATGCGACCTTGTTGCTATGTGGACACAAACGTTGAAAAACCACATGTGGCACTCCATTGAATAAGGGGCGGAAGAAGGACTGGTAACTGAAATATTCAACGCGTGCCTGATACACATCAGTATGCACGAGTGGCCCCTAGGTGCTATTAGATAGATGGAACTTATAATGTTATATCGACACTCCAATTTTATTTAGGAGGAGATCACAGGCCCGTTTACGAAGTGCAGGCCATGGCTCTCTCGCTGTACCACACTCCCATTACCTCGCCCTGGGGAGTAAGTCTTATCAAAAATTGGCGGGAAGTGGTTATAGCCAGGTCTTTTCAACGGGACTTGGCTAGAGCCAGTCCATTTGGAGGTACCTCGATCTGCGAGTCGAAAAATGCTGTATCGTCTTTATTGCCGGAAGGAGGTGCTCTAGTGGGTTTTCTGACTCAAGCAGTAGCATTATAATTATCCCTAGTTCATATTCTCAGCCCCATTGAGACGTGCCCTTTTATGTGATGATGTCGATCATGCACATGAACACGCTAAGATTGGCCGAAGATACAGGTGAAAGGAGTCGTGAAGATAACTGAAGTACCGCGGAAGTACCAAGATAGGAAATTCAAGCTCACGCTGAAGTCCCCCGCAGCACATGTGTGGCGGAAGGCCATCTTCCGAGATGTGCTCAAAGGAAGACTTTCCATGTTGAATGTGGTACAAATGATGGGGACGACGATGAAGCTGAAATGGAGCTGTACGTTTCTACAACTTTGCACAAAGCCAAAAAATAAGTGAAAACCATCAAAAATCATCAACCTTCCATTCCTCATCATCGCATTCCAGTTGAGTTTCCCGAGCAGTCGATCTCTAAACATAAAAGATTTAATAGTAACAATAATAATAAAAGAAGAAAGGCGAGATTAACGATTCATCTTTCTCTCATAGCTCACCGTTAATCCTACATAATGACCATGTTGCGAAGGATACGCCTGCATAATGGCTGCGCTCACGCAAGAGGACAATTCGTAGCGGCGGCCTAGTCCTAGATATCCGTGCGCCCAGGTCACGAAGGACCTATAGGCATAATAATGAAAGATTCCAAAAAATTCCAGCAAAAAAGTGTGTTATAAAGTTTCAACGTGGTGAGTTCCTCGTTGCGGTCTTCACTTGGAACAGTCCCCCTTTTTTTCCGTTCGTACCGTCAAGTCTCAACCCTGACGGACAGCACCTAATAGAGAGTAGGTGAATTACAGTCACGAACGCACATAATCATCAAACTCTAGATAATTACCTCTAACACTACTTTATGAAACGACGGGTGTTGGACGAGACACTGTCCAAAAAACCGCTCATCTTCTCACGTAAACGTTGAGCTATCTCGCGGCTTTGTCTGCTACCTCCAGTAATTGTCCCCCTTCCATCACTTCACGACAGCAAACGTTATCGTGAATCGTTGAGAAAGCAACACATGATCCACATAGACACCATTTATTACTCATAATCCGTGAAGGCGAGAGGGCCCTTCCGAGAGATGACATTCACTAAAACACTGCTGCGTTGAAGCTGCTAGAAATTATTCTTGCACATTGTTCATCGAAGGTTATTACTTTCTACGACGGTCCCTGTGAATTTTCGCCTCACGAGCACGATGTTTCCTCAGCGTTTTCTCTGCCACGCCCGGATCGGGGGTTCCGATGGCTACAGGGCACGCTCGACCGCTTTCGTTAGACAACATCCTGTGAAATATTATATTCACCTCATACTTTCACAAATTCTATGGAATTTTCTCAGTCCTCTAGGTCCTGATGAAAATAGCTAGTTTCAACTGTTTCTCTCCCTTTCCTTGCACGATATGTTTGAGTTTAGCTAAACTGACAAGTGGCACGCAAAAGGTGTAAATTTCCGTAAGGTATTTTGGTGGGTCTGGTTAAAGCTTTTTTGATAACTCAATGATTTTGTTGTTTATAAGTTCATTTTTTCTAGATCTACATTACTCAGGACTATTTGTGTTTCAAATATTTATTTGTGTTAATAAATGGGTTTTATAAATGTTTTGTAATTATCTTGTGTTGAACATGGTAAGATCTTATACAGATATTGGGTATATTATAATGAGCAGTGAAACTTTTCCCATCAGCAGCTAAATTATAATTGATGGGATAATTATTTCATGTGCTTGCACCCTAACGTACTCGTATTCTTGGTCATTCTATAATGCATTCGGCTATGAATCATCGGCTATTTTCTATGAACTGTATATGAGTGTATAAGGAACCTTTCACGAGTTCAGAAAGAATTTTGGAAAAAAATCTTGTCTTCAGGTGATCTTTGTGATCGCATCTTTTAAATTTTATGCCGATGTTGAAATCATTTTGTTTCATTACAGTCGGGACAAGATCAGCCGACGTCTTGGCTAGAATACAGTTGAAGTGCAATGGTAATCGCTGTAGCTATCAAGTTTTGGCATCGTTGTAGTTGGGCACGAACAACGTCTACTTTCGCGACTTATTAGCATGAGAATTTCCTATCTGAGTATTATAAACTTTCGTTTATTCAATCAATTGTGTTTCCTAGTTCCTTTACCAGCTCTACATTTTTCTGTAATGAGCTCTTTTATATGACACGTTGCCTGTAAGTATTTGACCGAAATTTTAACTACTTTTGTAATTATCGGCCTGTAAATTCTAGCACTATACACTGTCGCATATACTACCACGAGTAGGCCGCTCAGACGGTAAATACACAGTAAGCGGGGGGTGGGGTGGTTACATGGAACTCCACTAGATTCTGAGCGATCTCTCCTTCTATCCATTCGGCTGATAGTTGCTTCCTCCGATAGTCCGTGCTCTCGCGCGCCCTTCGCCGGTCCTCCGGCTCGCTACGCCGGGCCGCCAAAGTGGCCGTCTCCATTGCACCTCAACACCTGAGATGGAGGGTTTACTGTTTCGAATTGAACAATCTGAAGACCTGTGGCTCCATGGGGGTATCAGAGTCAGTTGTCGTCAAAAGCTCCAATAAGCATGAGGACTCGTAAAACGCGGATAGGCAGTTCGTCCTTTAGCCATAAATACCTCAAAAATATAACTCGAACAACACGACACCATGAGCCAGTTATGAGTGATAGTGATGCTGATTATCGCGACATCTCGTATCGCATTTGTATGCCAGTGTCAAGTGGCAAGATGCTCAACTGCTTATCTTGTGCGTCTGTTCAGAAGCATGAGCAAGGTGAATGATGAGGAAGAGGCTGTCTTCAGCGTTAATTTGGGAGATAATAAATTCGATTGAATGACCTACCTTCGATTTCTATCTCTGTATCTATCGCCCCGCGCATACCACTACGATTGCGTCATGACACTTGCCATGTCTTTCATTCTCCGCTGTTGATTTTATTGATGTTTTACATTCTCAAAAGCTAGTTCTAGCCTCGCAGAGGAAGGTTGAATCGCAGAAGAACCCAGCAGCAGTCCGAGCACGGAGGACCTGTTTTGTAGATGCGATGCGATGACGGAGCTTGTTTCCTCTGAAATGTACATGTTGAGTTAGATTCGCACGGATAATGGTAAGGAATTAAACTAGTTGATTTACCCGGGGCTATAGTGGCATGCAACATACCACATATCTCCGCAGTTTTGCGAAACAGCACATCCAATATATTCAGTAGTCGCCCATGCCATCTGAACCACAACAAAATATTATACATACAAACCTCCTTACACGGAAACAGTTGCATTCTGTCAAAATATCAACCACATCTTACGCGTTTTCTAGTACAACTGTCAAAATGAAAACACAAAAGGCGTTCACGGCAACTTGTCTCGGCACAAGACAGCCTGATGTGTCATTTGGGTTGCGACTTTTGTTCGCTGCACAGTTCTCTTAAAAATAAGACTAACCCTAGTGAACCAGCTGATGCTGCTCGTTAGGTAACGGAACCTGTAAAAGACTCTTTCTCCGATGCCACCATCTTTTCGTACTCTGCTCCACCAGCCTTTAACAGCCTTAAAAACATTTACTCCAGTAAGGAAATAATAAGTTCATACTCTGTAACCAAACCTCAGCCATGGCATTCACGCGATATCGGGCAACACTTTTGGGAACACTTGCGATATTCTGTTGCACGCCGTATGGAACGTATGATCCATGAGTAGAGCATCTGTCTACAGCAGCTTTTGCCGACGTTTCGAGCGAACATTTGTATCTCTTAATAAAAGTATGATCTGCATTATAGCGGACATACGATACATGAGAAAAGTTGTGTTGTACCTAGATGACCTAGATCCCTGTAGAAGAGACACGCCCGAGAGTTTCCGTAATTCCTTTTTTCTAGGAGCGACGGGGATTGTGTTTGTGCATTGAAGCGATTCCGAAGAGACAAAGGGTATGACAATCTTCGTTGCACAGCAAAGGCTCTTACTTAGCATCACTGCAGTCACTGCATCACGGGAATGCTGGGTTGTGAACAAAACTTTCGCCCCAGACGGGACTCGAACCCGCACCTCTCGCTTTCCGGGCAAGTGCGCTACCAGTTACGCTACCGGGGCACCATTTCATCCCAACTCAGCTTTTCATGGTATACGTACCATAGCTTTCAGCACTCACACGTATAACGTGTTGAGCCGGTTAGCCGATATCGGCAATGACCGCGAGGCTGAAAGCTTTAGCAATGAATTTTGACTTGTTTTTTTGTTAACTATTTGTTCGCAACCCAGCATTCTTGTCATACATTTGCAAGGCGAACTGCGGCCAAAAACAACAGGTAACAAAAAAACAAGTCAAAATTCACTGCAGTCTATCGAAGTCCATCGAATCGTAGAAGAACTTCAGAATTTCTCCGTCGTGTTGCCGCCCAACACTTCAGAGGAAGCATTTGGATGGCATACGTGCAAAAGCAACTTATTAACATTGGATGTTAATCTGTTCTCTTTCTGTATGCGCTATCGAATGCTTTCAAACAGGGCAAGAAGGGGAAAATAATGGTCGCCATTAAAGAAAACTCCAACTTCATCTTCACTTTATCCTGCTCATAATCATCCGAAGAAATCTATTTTTTAAAGGAATAATAAACCTAGTCATTAATTAGTTATCAAAAAACAGAGGAGGCCATTCTTGAGTAGTGAAAATTCTCCGCGCTTTTGCGTCAAAATTGGTGGTTTAATCGATAGTGCGGCGAAAAAGTTTGCGGGAGGAATCATAATTAACACTATTCAAATTTTATTCGATCCTTCGACATTAACTAAAGGTAGTGATTACGATAGATTCAAGAAGGGTTCATAGGAAACTGATGGTGTTTATGGGTACGCCACTAGCGAAAAACACCAAAGAAATCCTTCAAAACGAGACACACTTTTGGCCGTTAGTTTTCGCTCATGAACAGGGAACGGCTCAGAAAGCGGACGTATGAACGAGTTCAGCACAACGCGTTTGGTGACAGCATGCCAATCCGCGCTACAGTCGAGTTGCTTCGGTTGTGCCGCTGCTGGCAACGCAGCTCGTCCAAATCACCAACTAAACTAGTGGGCGGATCGCTTTTGGGGGCGGAGTGCTTTCGAAGTCCTGCTCAGCAACCAGCGAACCTTGCGTCGTGAAAGCGCTACACCTCGCTTCCCTGGCAGCCAAGTAACTGATTCGTGTGGTGTATGCTTCCGCGATGCGCTCCATTATCGTAGTAAAAAAAAAAAATCGCTGCCTTTAACGTTTTAAAAATGTCTACGTTTTAACTCTTAGTTGGCTTCTCTTCGTACCTCGAGAGAGAGATGATACTTCACATAGGGCGTATTGTTAGAACAAAGTCACTTGTTACTCGTTACGTAATTATTTCGTCTCCCTCTATTTCATAATCAGAATGCAGAATCGTGATTGCATGGTTTACGGACTACGTGATTTTTCCTCAATAGTCCTGCCGCGATTTCTAGAGCACGGACTAGGGAATGGGTGAATGACCTAGTACTAAGCCTTGGAAAGAAGAGAGACCGCGAGAGAGCGCAGAGGGGGTTTTAAGGGGCTTTAACTGTGATTAGGCCTATATATCGACTTAGGGCAGGAGGTATGGTCGCCAATTCGTAAAAGAACCTGTGCTATTTATCAGTTTTTTTTAAATCCTGTCAAGTTGAAGTCTATCCATTATCGAGTACGAATTCTAAGTCATCATTTGCTGTCTGAGCATTGTTTTCTCGGGCTCGATTACCACAAACAATCAACGTCATGGAATTTTTAGTCCATTATTATAGCTAAATAGGCCTCTAATCATTTTCAGTGATTGATTTATAACTACATCTTAACTTTATTGCCTTCAGATGCACATTCTGCTGTAAGCGCGTGCATCTCCTGCGCAAATTCGCTGAAAAAAAAGCGCGTTTTCGACGAAACTCCACAATAGCAGCCTGCCTTTGTTTTCTGACTCCGACTGCGAAAACTCACGGTTTTAGAGCATGTAATTTTCACTCGTACCGTTCCATTAAAGAAATTTCGGTGAAAATGTAGTTCGAGGGGGCCACCCTATCTAATCGAAGTGGAGCTGCGGAAAGACACTCATATCTAATCAGAGTTGCGGGAAGGCACTTATATCTTATCATATCTTTCACTGAGACCGTGGCCTACGACGCTTACCCTTGTCATATTATTCTATGGCTAAAATGGCTGCTACCTTGCTGGCTCTTCACTTTCACCAAACCTTCTTGCGACTGCCATGCAAGCCCTCGAAGAAAGGGCCTTTCAGGTATCCGATTTTGTATGGAATCTCGGGTTGGTATCCCTATCTAATCATACACTCAGAGACTGTGCTCTGGATGTTGATTAGATATGACCGCCTTCCGCAGCTTCACTTCGATTAGATAATATAAGTGCCCCCCCCGAACTACATTTTCACCGAAATTTCTATCGTCTTAAAAAATTTGGGAAGTCATTCAATCATTATATACCGGACATCAACGAAAATTTGCTCTATAAAACTTGTGGTTTTAAATGGGCAACAAGTTTCCGATACCTAAGGGCACCAGAGGAATCCACTGTCAACTTCGTGCAAGGGAGTGACTGGGGGAGTCCCAAAAGACATGTTCAGAGTATGATCCTGAACCTTGGTCCCGGACCGTGCACCTGCAGTCAGTTACTACACCACCTCTTCCTCTCCTCTCTGAGTGGTTATATTAAGTAGTTAGTGAATTTTTCAAATTTCCGCTTGAACCTACCAGCCTTATCATATTAGTGGCACTAGGTAAATGTTTCCCGGTGATATCTGCAACAAGGCCTTGTGCAAGTCTTGACCTGAAATGTACATGTTTGCTTAACCTGATCCTCTGCCATTTTAGGGAAGGCATGTGAGGTCAAACCTTCGATAATTGTGCATAGTTAATGACATGACTCTTATTCTGTCGTTCATGCCAGGGTTGGTAGGACAGATTTGGTTGATTCCTGAATAAAGATTCTGTTATTGTAACAGATACAAATACATAAGAAGATATGATGAGCACATGTAATATGTAGGTGATCTTCCTGAGGCCACTCATTGAAATCGTGCACATCAAGGCAACATTTGGAAAAGAGCAATGGACGCTTAAAGCTAGGAATTACGACGAGATTGTGTTGGTTCATAGTGGAAGTGGGGATGCTGAATAATGCCCCAGTGGCGAAAAAGCAAAGAAATCCGTCAAGAACGCGCAAAATGGGACCCTTTCTTTGCCCGTTGACCTCCGATAATGGACGAGCTAGCAACCAACTAGAGGTCGTTTGCACATGTTAAACCGATAGCCGCTATCATTCCAGCAAAGATCATGCTTTGATTGGACGCATTCCATGGGAAAGTTATAGGATACACACTCAAAGTGGAATACCTCATCCATGTAGGAACAATGATGGTGTTAGCAACACGCTGGTGGGTGGGCGGAGGCGGAGCTCAGGAAGGATTGGCAGCCCCAGGGCGCTAAACTAGCGCACCTTTGGCCACAAAAAGGCCACATCTCGCTTCCTTGGGCCCCTGACTACTGCTTCCACTGGTGCATGTACTTCCATGCTGCACACACACTTTATCGTAATCTCTCGCTTTCAAAGGCAAGAATCAGGATTACATTGATGGGTTGATTCCTACTCAAATGTGAAAGTAGGGATGAGAGGTGGACCGCCAATGGAGAAAAAGGAAAGAAAATCCTGACATGCACAGGAAATACGAGCATTTTGCTCAATGCTGTGGAGAAGTTCAAAAGACAGGGAGGGAGATGAGAGATAATGTGAGCGCAGGGAGCGGTAGAGAATTCCGAGAAGAGAGAGCATAGCAGATCAAACACAAGCGACCGCAGGACAAAGACATTCGGACTCGGGTGGGCGGACCACGTTATGATTGGCGTGGAAGTCTGTTAAATGCTGTTCAAGAAGTTCGTGGATATTTGAACTTATGTTGAGCCCCGCTCTTTCCACTGACACATGATTGCAACCTTCAGCATCGCTTAATATGCCCAGCTCACAGATCGAGTGGACTTAGTTTACCAACATGCCAAACCACTTAGGAATCGGCATTCAGGACTATCAAGAAGCTGCTGGCAGTTATGAGTGCGAGAAATCAGTGAGCAGTGATTTTGAGGTCGCTTTGTGGGATACTGTATTTTTATATCGGCTCCGATACAGGCGGAAACTGTATGCAAGAAAGGGCAGATGTCTTTCCGAAAGAGGATGATTACCGCTGCACGACGAATGTGGTAGGACTTTTCAGCTAAGCTTCGATATTGAGAATCGCTTCATTTTCGAAACGTGTAGTCTCAGGTGTCGTGGAGCGTACACACTTTTTTTGAGTTTTGACGGCAGTTGTTGGACTTTCACCGTGAGTCTCTGCCGTTGATCTGCCTACACATGAGTGAATTCATAGTCCCTGAGGATTCTAGGTGTGGTTATCATGAAACCTGAGCTTCTCAACTGCAGTAGTGGCTTTGTTCAACCAGGGCGTACGGGTGGAGTAGGAACCAAATTATGGACGGAGTGCGTGTCGCACTCCTGTCATCGGTGGTCAATTCATGGGGGAATCTTTGGCGAGGCTTCAAGCATATTTCGAAGGAGCGAGAACCTTCACGAATTGTGCATCTGGAACATCAGGATGTGGTGGCCACAAAGCAGGGAGCCCCGTGTGGAGTGGCTCCCAGGAAAGAGTACAGGCTCTCCAAATCCGACACTGATGACCTCTCTGAACGAGGGTTTGTCTACCAGCTGTAGTCTCCCAAGCAGAGAAGATCCAGCTATTCTGATACCTCACTGTTGTGAGAAGGCAAGAGA